TCCTGCAAATCCTGCAGCTCCTCCTGCTGCTGCAGCTCCTGCAAATCTTGCAGATCCTGCAGCTCCTGCTGCCCCAGCTCCTGCTGCTCCTGCTCCTCCTGCAGCTCCTGCAGCTCCTCTTGCAGCTCCTGCTGCCCCTACTGGATTCTGCCCGAGGGCAGGAGCTGCTGTGCTGGAGGAGCAGCTTCCCAGGCAGAGAACTTGACGGGGAATTTTCCTTCCAGCTCTTCTCTCCAAGCCCGGGTCTCCTGGCACGGCCCGACCTGAGCTGCAATTCCTTGAAAAACCCTTGAATTGTGAGGCACTGAGGCCAAACCCTCCCATGTCTGGGCAATGGGTTTAATCCACAGTGGTTTGGGTTGGAAAGGACCCTAAAAATCCTTCCACTGGAGCAGGAACACTCCCAGGGATGGGGCAGCCACAACCTGTTCCAGTGTCTCAGCATCCTCAGACATTTTCTGGCTGATATTGAATCTAAATTTCCCCTCTTCCAGTTTGTACCCATTGCTCCTTCACCCTATGAGTACATTCTGTATTTGGTGGTTTTCCTTTTGTTTTAACCTCATCCTCCTTTATTTTCTAGTGCCATAAAGTTAATATTAAAAAGAAAAAAACAACAAAAAAAAACAATGTAAGGGAGGGAAAAAGAAAAGGAAGATGGAGGTGGGGGAAGGCAGAGTTACTCTGAGCTATGGCAAACTCTCACCTCTCAATCTTCAGGGAAGATGTGTGGCTGCAGAAGTGGATATGTTTGAATTTGTTGGTGTTGTTTCTATTTTTGTTCACTTGCAAATGTTCAAGGAGCTGCCCAGCTAAAAAAAAATGCTGCTGGCCCAGAATAATTAACTCCAAATCTCTGTGGTTCATCTCCAGTGAGGCACCTGGGGTGGTTTAAATCTGGTGGTGAGGGTAGGAGCAGGCAGGGAAATCTGGAAGACTCTGATGCAAAAGAAAAGAAATTCTAATGCTGATTTCCCCAAAACCAGGCAAATTCCTGCCCTGCCTTTTCCTGCTGAGCCTGCTCCAGGGTGTCAGGGGGAGCTGCTGAGTGTGTGGGGTAAATGCAGAATAGCTGGGGATGAGCTGGGGCTTGGTGCTGTTGCTTTCCTGGGCACTGAGCTCCATGAGCCCTAAATAAAAATAACGCTGGAAATGGCTGCTCAGAAATGTTGCATTTCAAAGCTGCAGCTCGGTCATTTGCCAGGTTTTAATAGATGAAAAAAGTAATTTTTATAAGGAGTCAATCAATCAGATGACTTGTGTTCTGCAGACTCTGAAATAGCACTCCAAGTCTGACAGGAGCAATAATAAGTTTCTTGCTGTTTGTAACTAATTTTTACGGATGATCAATTTTGAGGCTTGTGCTGTAAAACACAAGCAGCAAATTATCAATGATCTGATCTTTATTTTAGTTTCCTCTCTGGAAACTGAGTGGCTGATGATTTAACTCTACAAAGAGCCAAAATTGCTGCCTGGTCATTCCCCTGTCCTGTGCATCAGTGGGGAGAAGTTTACTATGGAGAAATGAGTGTGCAATTAATATGGAAAATGAATAGCTGAGCTGTAAATGGGCTCACTGGGAGAGCCATGGAGCCCATGGAGAGAATGTTAATGTGTTGCCATGTTATTGGTGCTAATCACTTAAAATGTGCTTCTTTATTAGTGGCTTTAATGAGAGCCACTTAAACTGTGCATTAAAAAGAGGAACTGCAGAGAGGGACGACAGACTGGGTAGCAGACAGTCATAATTTTAATTGAAATGCTTTTAGTACAAAAATATAAGAAAAACCTGGAATCCAGTAATCCTTTTGACTTTCTGAAGCCCCTTCCATTACGTCTCATCAATTAGTTTTGGTTCCAGAGCTTGGGTTATTTGTTTTCCTAAACTGTGATGGGTTGGAGTCCCTACAAAAACACAATTTATGGAAGCAGCCACTTGGAGGGAAGGACGTGATCTTGAGAAAAACCAGGTTCCATTGGCTGAGCTGCCATGGAAGGGGTTTGCTCAGTGTTTTAGTGCTCTTAATTATTTGTGATTTGTTTTAATAACTCAGAATTTGGTGTTGAGCTGGTGGCTGGGTCAGGTCCTGCTGCCTCTGCTATTTGTTGGTGACCTCTGTGAGCGTGTCCCTCGTGCCACTGCCTGATGGAGATGATGGAGATCTCCCCTTTCTTTCTTTTCACTGAATATTAACATTTTTTTTTTTCCCCTTTAGGTGGTATGTAGGGCAGGTTGTTTTCCAGCAGTCCTGCAGTGATGCTCCTCCTTTGATGTCTCCACAGGATTTTTCCCAGGCAGCTCTCAGGGATGTGACGCTTTCCTCCGGCACAAGATGACCCTCATTTCTCCCTCCATCCTGAAGAAATATGGGATCCCCTTTGACAGGGTAGGTGCAGGGGCAGGGTCAGGAGAGCCTGCAGAGCTCAGCTCCTGTGTCCTGAGGAGTCATTTCAGCTCCACTGGGGGAATGGGCTGCATTCCCAGGGCATTGCTTTGCTGAGTGCAGCCTGGCTTTGGGACCAGCTCTGCCTGCAGAGAGGAGGGTTTGGGGTTTGCCTGAGACACTGGAGGGAAGAAACTCTGACAATCAGGGAGCCCCTCAGGTAGAGAGGAACGAGCTCATAAGGGCTCTCCAAGGGTCAGCAGAACCCCCTGGTGATTCAAAAACACTTTTTTATTTTCCTGTGGGTCCAGTAGGACCCAAAGTGGAGCTGGGGTTGCTGGTTCCTGTTGTGTAAGTGTTGGTGCTGCTCTGAGCCTGGAAGGATCCCTGCAGCTCTTAAGCCCTGATTTGAAAAGAGGGGTCATGTTTATTTGGTATGATCGTTTTAATGTGCTTATCCTTAAAGTCTTGTGGCAAGAAGTAAATCTCCTCAGCCAAGGGTGGTTACAGGGATTTGTATCTGTGCAGAATCACTCAAACTGCTGCTGCTGAGCCAGAGCTGCCTGGGGATGTGAAAAGTGGCAGAGCCTTGCTCCAAACTGCTTCCATGGAATCATGGAGTGAGAATGGACCTTAAATCCCACCCAGTGCCACCCCTGCCATGGCAGGGACACCTCCCACTGTCCCAAGCTGCTCCAAAACCTGTCCTGGAACAGTCACTCTTATTCACAAACTGGGAACAAGTGCCACTTTTCCTGAGGAATAGAGATAAGATCCCTCCATCCCAATTCTTGGCAGATTTCAATGAAGTTGAAATAGGCAGCATTTATAAATCTCTATAATGCTGTTCTGGAAAAAAAGAAACAGATCAATACTAGGGCTTTTTAATAATTAAAAATGTGTATTTCTGTAATCTCCTATTGATTTCTCCATTTATTCCTCAAGAGCTTGCAGAAGTCAGTAAATTTGGGGCTTTCTTCATGAGTGGCAGTTTGTGCTGGCTTTCCTTCAATAGTTATTACTTTTCTGCATGGCCTATCCATCATCTGGAGTGTTTTCTAATTTATTGTGGGATAATGTTGACAGCAGTACCATGGATGATGTGGGCTTGAAATGGAGACACCAGGATGTGCTTTCAAGTGACAGGAACAGAATCTGTTCCAGCAGAGCAGCACTGCTGGGCTTTGTGGAGGGGCTGGGGCAGCCTGGGCTTCAGCAGCTCCTCCTGAAATCCTGCAGGAACTCCTTGTGTATCACAGCAGCTTTTATCCCCTCTTTTAAAAAAACGATTCTTAATGAATCAGCAAGTCGAGATTGTGGCCCAGCTGAGGGGGAAGGGTTTGAACTTGTGTCTGTTTGAATTTTGCATTTGGCCTCATGGTGCTGTTTGGAAGTGCAGTGGGCTCAGAGCTGCTGGGGTGGGAATTTGGCTGTGGGAAGGAATCCAAATGGAATTCTTGGCCTGTGGCAGCTGTGGGAGCTCTGTCAGCACTGCTGCTTGCAAAGACAGGGAGGCTCAAGCTGTAGGAATCTGTGCTTTGGGATGGTCGGGACAAACTCAGGAGCTCCTTTTATTCTGGTCTTAAAGTTTTGCAGTTTATTTCGTAGGGTGTGGGTTTATATAAAGCCCTGCTGGGAACTGCAGCCACAGCTCAGAGCAGGGCAGAGAGAGGGAGAGAGTGAGAGAAGAGAGCTTAAGAGAGTTTAAGAAAGTAAGAATGAAGAGAGTAAGAGCATAAGAGAGAGATTTTCCCATTTACAATACATTAAATCTTCTATGTTGAATATTCTAATTTCCACTAACCAATTTAATACAAATACAAATTCTCTAACATTTCCATGCAACCTATAGGAATCACTATATTACCATGTTTTACTGCTTTTCTTATCTCTAAATTTTATCTGGGACCCTTCCTGCCATGCCTAGGGAGGATGTCTGTTTGTTTTTTGGTATTTGCAGCATCAAACATTATCTAAACAAAGGGGCCCTCAGGCATTCAGTTACTTTCAGCCCCACAGCCAAAAATCGCTATAATTTCTATTTCACTTATATTTTCCATATTCTCAAAGTCTTTTGCCAGGCACTTCATATTGATAAGGTTTCCTTAATTCATCCTTCCCAACATCAAGTTTTGCCTCTTCCATGCCCCATGGAGGGGAGGTGCTGCTCACCAGGGGCTGCAGGGCTGGGAGTTGCTCCTGTGGTTCAGGCCATGCTCTTAACAATTAAACTTCTTTTTTTCCCCGATGGTTTTTCTGCATGAGATATAAAAAGAAGGGTTTTTAGAAGCATCAAGATTGATTTGCCTCTGATTCCAGCAGTGATCTTTGGAGTTCAACCTTTATTAATAATGTCTGTAATGCTTATTGTTGTTTTAATTTTATTCAAGTCGAGTCCCAGGATGGTTTGTGTTGAAAGGGACATTAAAGCCCATCAGTGCCACCCCTGCCATGGGCAGAGACACTTCCACTGTGCCAGGGTGATCCCAGCCCAGCCTGGCCCTGGACACTCCCAGGGATGGAGCAGCCACAGCTGCTCTGGACAATTCCTAAAGCAACAAAAGCTGGGCTGGAATTTTTTGGGTGTTTGAGTTTTGGGTGGGGAAATAAACACAGGGAAGGGCAGGGGTGCTCCAGAATGCAGAGGGGCTGTTAGCAGGGAAATCCAGAACTCTGGCATTGGGAATGAAGTGGGAATGAAGGTTTGGAGCTGCCAGGAACCAAAGTGGTCACATCAAACATTTATTGATCTTTTGGATTTCTGCAGCCTGAGACCTTTCTGTAACTGGAGCCTGCAGGTGTAAATAGTTCAGATTATGAGACCCCTTCCATCCACTGTTCTGAGTTTTTCCCTTAAGAGAAATCTTTGAGTGTTCCTGCAGTTTACCAGGAATGTTCCAGGTTCAGCCAAGAGCTGGCAGTGTGACTTGGTTTAATTTAATTTCCCCCCAAAATGCCATCATTTAATTTGAATTTCCTGGCCAATGCACCAAATAATGTCATGGTTTTGATTTGCCAATTTAAATATACTCATTTTCTGTTGTGAGACAGAACCAGGAGCAGAAGCAAGGCAGGCCTAAAACTTAAAAGGGTATATAAAGAAATTTATTAACTACACAAAGAAAAGAACAAAACAAATTCAGAATAAGATTTTTCAGACCACTCCTTCCTTCCCTCTCCCAACCTTCATCACAACAAAACAAACATACAAAAAACTACTTCAGTCAGTTCCCAACTCAAATAGTCCTTTTCTTCAGTTCACTTTGGAGAGAGATGTTTCCTCTTGTGAGGCCATAGGGATTTTTTTTTTCCCCAAGGAGGAAGAAAACACTCCTCTCGTGGTTCCATTTTCACCATTTGCATCCTCCCAGGACCTGCAATCGTGGCACTCCTGCCAACCCCACAGCCTTCCCAGAGCTGTGCTGGATTCATGGGGTGTTACTGTTAACTTTTAGACCTGCCTTGCTTCTGCTCCTGGTTCTGTCTCACAACAAACAGAAAATATATTTAAATTGGCAACTCAAAGCCATGACACAGTGACAGCTCTGCCCAGCCCGCAGTGGGAAGAGATTGAGCAGTGGGGATTTTTTAAGGGGTCTCTGTTCTCAAGCTGCTGCTTTTAGTGACCTGTGGGGACTGTGCTGCTTTTCCCTCTGTGCTGCAGATCACGCAGGAGGCCGGGGAGTTCATGATCACATTTCCCTATGGCTACCACGCCGGCTTCAACCACGGCTTCAACTGCGCCGAGTCCACCAACTTCGCCACGCTGCGCTGGATCGACTACGGGAAAATGGCCACTCAGGTGGGCTGGGCTTGCTTAGGCTGGGCTTG